AGAGAATGGAGTTTTGTGAATTCTCTATTAATCCAAGCAAAGAAACACATAATTATAAGTTTTTTTTTACAAATTAAGAAAAGCAAATATAATATATATTTTACATCAATTATGTTATAATGCATTATACTTGTGCTATTGCATATATTTCTACACAATCAGGTCATGCAAGTATTTGTAAATGTGTCCTACTCATAAAGGGAGTCTACTAAGTACACAAATGAAAAGATGATACTCAATCCGTAGTAGCTTTTAGTGATATGTAAACTAGCCTGCTATATCCTTTAAAATAAAACAAATATTTTATCTTCTACATTGACTTTCAAAGTTCAAGATTATCCATTCTCCTCTTCTGTTTCATGCATCAAAGATTTCCCAGATGGTTTACTCTTATTAAAACATCTGTCTATGCCTCTGAATCCCATTTTAGCTAATGATTTTGACTTTAGGTTGCACTGTCTCTATTAGTCTCTATTCAATGTCTGAACCTCCATTCATTGTTAAGGATGGTATTAGTGGGAGTTCCCAGATTTTTTTTCCCAGGGTGGTGCGAAAATGCCACCAGTGAGATAAGGAGAAAGCAACAATATGTACTTAGAGGTATGGTTTAAATCTAAAACATTTATGTGATTATAAAATTTAAAGAAAGCACTGTAAGTGGGAAGGCACTTCAGAGATGAAAAAAATATGGCAAGGGGCCAAGTTCTACACCCTCTAATCATTGAATAATTGTAGATATGCTCACTCTGGGAAGAGATTTAACCCTGTGAGCAGCAACACTCCCTCACTGAAGGAAATTGACAGGAAGAAACACTGTTATGTATAATAAGCCATCAACAATCTTGCATTTGGGCACTAAGGGTCACAGTCTGAGAGGAATCATGACATCCACTAGAGGATCATACTTTAATTTTTACCTCTTCAAGATTCATTTTGGAAATTATTTTATACTTTCTTTAATATCATCAGGCCTACTAGGAGAGAGGCCTGGGAGTAGCCCCAAAACATCTAGCACCACATCTACTGCAAATGGAGTCTTGGCCTTGCCCCCACCAAGAGATGTAAGTTCCCCCTACATGTTCCATGCCCCATTCTGCTCCCTGAAACCCCAGAGACATAGTCACAGACCCAAAACAGCCAACATCATATCTTCTGGCATTGGGGCCTTGACACCACCCCAACCAGGAAAGAAAGCCCCGAGACCTACGGGCACCCTCTCAACAACCCAAACCATCCTGCAAGAACTTTAAGTCTTTAAAGAAAGAAATTAAAGATGATATCAGAAAATGTAAAGGTCTTCCATTCAGGGAATCTTTTCAATGCAGGAGATCTTTCCCATTACAGGAAACATTGAACAAGAAGTCTTAATCCTGATTATATATGCCACAACTACAAGGGAACACACATTCATAAAAGAAACATTGCTGAATCTGAAATCACACATCAAACCCCAAACACTAATAGTGGCAGATTTCATCACCCTACTGGCACCAGTTGACAGGTGTGCCAGACAGAAAATTAACCGAGAAACAGATGTTATGACTCAAATAAGCTTAACAAACAACTGTAGAACATTCCACCCAAACACAAAAGAATATATATTCTTCTCAGCACCACATTGAGCCTTCTCTGAAATTGATCATACACTCAGTTACAAAGCAAATACCAACAGATAAAGAAAAATTGGAATAACCCATTGTATCTTATCAGATCATCCTGCTTTAAGTTAGAATTAAGCAACAACACAAATTCTGAAAGCCTACTAACTCATAGAAAATGAATAATACAAAATTTAATCACCCCGGGGTAAGGAAGAAATGAAGAAAAATATTAAAGATGTCCTAGAATTCAATGAAAATTAATGTACAACATATCCAAACCTTTGCGACACTATGAAAGCAGTGCTAAGAAGAAAGTTCATAGAACTAAATGCCTATATAAAGAAGTAAGAGAATCATACAAGAGGGAATTGACAAAACACCTGAAAGCACTTGCACAAAAAGAGGCAAACTCACACAGGAGGAGAAGATGACAGGAAATAATCAAATTGAGGGATGAAATAAATAAAATAAGAACAATACATAGAATGAATAAAACAAAGACATGATTCTTTTAGAAAATCATCAAGATAGACAAGCACTTACCCAAGCTAACTAAAAGGCAGACAAACAATGTCCAAATTAACTAACTAAGAAATGAAAATGGGGACATAACAGACTCTGAGGAAATCCAGAGAATCATCAGGTCATATTTTGAAAACCTGTACTCCACAAAATTGGAAAATGTAAAAAGAAATGGAAAATTATACCAAAATTAAATCTAAACCAGATATGGAAATTGAAGAAGTCATCAAAAGTTTCCCAAACAAACAAAAAAGACCAGGGCCACATGGTCTCAGCACAAAATTCTAACATAACTTCAAACAAGTGCTAATACCTATACTCTTCAAACTGTTCCAAACAACAGAAAGAGAAGGAACATTGCCAAATTCCTTTTATGAGGCTACAATAACCCTGATACACAAACCACACATAGGTGCAATTACAGACCCTTGTGAACATTGATACAAATTACTCAATAAAATACTGGCAAACTGAATCCAGGAACCCTCAAAAAATCATCAGACTTGCCCAACTAGGCTACATTCCAGAGATGCAGGTTTGGTACACCATACCAAAATCTATCAATGTAAACCACCATATAAACAAACTGAAAGAAAAAAAAAACACATGATCATCTCTTTAGATGCTGAAAAAGCCATTGACAAAACTAATCACCATTTTATCATAAAGGTCCTAGAGAGATTAAGGGATACCCAGGAACATAACTAAACATAATAAAGGCAATATATAGCAAGTCAACAGCCAACATCAAACTAAATGGAGGTGAATTGAAAGTGATTACACTAAAATCAGGAACAAGGAAAGACAGTCTACTTTCTCCTAATCTATTCAATATAATAATAGAAGTTCTAGCTAGAGCAATAATACAACCAAGATGATCAAGTGGATATAAATTGGAAAGGAAGAAGTCAAAATATAGCTAATCAAAGATGCTATGACAGTATACATTAAGTGACACCAAAAACTCTACCTGGGACCTCCTATACTTGATAAACACCTTTAGTAATGTGACCGGATACAAGATTAATTCAAAAAATCAATAACCTTCCTATATACAAATGATAGAGGGGCTGAGAAAGAAATCAGGAACATCATCCTTTACAATAGCCACAAATGTCTCCCCACTCGTCTCCTTACTCCTACTTCCCTCTTCCCTCTCCCCTGTGCTTCCAATTTATTTGGGAGATCTTGTCCCTTTCCCCTTTTCCAGGTAACCATTTCTGTCATTCTTAGGGTCCTCCCTGTTTCCTAGCTTCTCCAGGGTTGTGCATTATAAGCTGGTAGCCGTTTGCTCTATGTCTAATATCCACTTTGAGTGAATACATACCATGTTTCTTCTAGTTCCATCCATTTGCCTACAGATTTCAAGATTTCCTTGTTTTTTTTTTTTTTTTTCCACTGAGTAGTACTCGAGGATGGGGGAGAAAAACATGAGGATCCAGGAAGATCAATTCAAGGGGAGAATAGAGAAGGAGAGCAAGAAAAGAGATACTTTAATAGAGGGAACCATTATAGTTTTAAAGAGAAATCTGTCACTAGGGAAATGTCTAGGGATCCACAAGTATGACCCCAAATAGGAATGTAAGCAATAGTGGAGAGGCTACCTTAAATGCCCTTCCCCTATAATGAGATTGATGACTACATTAAATGTCATCATAGAGCCGTCACCCAGTAGCTGATAAAAGAAAAGAAGAGACACAGACATTGAGATACAATGAGCAAGATAAGAGAGTTGCTTAAATATGTAGAATGTTACAAGTATAAAATTTGGATGATGGTTGTGGACATAGATGAAGGAGATGATCAAGACCAAAAGCATCTCATAGTTTTGTGTGCTTAATAATTTTCACTTAATTTAGTACTTAATAATTTTCACTTACATCACAAGTCATTTCACTTTTATTAAATCGTTGTATGTTTATGCTATATTTTACTTATCATTTGTATTGACACTAAAGTATAGATATGGTGTATTTTCATTTGTGGGTTTGTCATGACATACATTCATATCTAGCTACAAAAACTACAGTAACATTTTCAATGCCTTTACTATGATTTTATTGATTTGGAGTGAACTAGATATTTCATTGAGCAGAATCTCTAGAAATCCCTCATGTGACTTTGTCTAGCTCTCTATTGTTATCTTTACCAGGATCTTGTTGAGTTGGTAGTCAGTAACAATACTCCTATCAGCAGAAATCAATGTTAAGATAGTTGAAAACATGATCTGGTTTCAGCTGATGACTCAGTATTGATTAACAGCTTGATATGTCAGTGGTCAAAATGAAGGTTAATTCTCTTCCCTGAGATGTTCCTTGAAGTACATAATCAGTCTGCATTCATTTTTGTATTACACTGTAATTATACTAAATTTACAGATCATAAATCATTGTTTCAGATGAATATTAACATCGTTTAGCTTTATTAGTAAAAAAATTAAAAGGAAAGAGTTTATCCTGCTTTAATTTCCAGAAAAGTTACAGGAATGATGTTTAAAATCTTGGAAGTTGTTGAATTCATATCAACAGATGGGACACAGATATTTCCAATTATTAGTGTAGGTTATGATTACTAATCTCACTTTGTCATGAGCTCTGAAATTATTTTCAAAACCTTTTCTATGGACAATGTTTTGGGTTCAGCACTGTGGCATGTAGAATCTTGATCTCACTGAAGGGTAGTTTCCATTGTTGTGTTGATAGGACTTACTAGTTTTTCTTTGAGTCATTCTTTAAGAAGTGGGTGGTAGTAGCACACTCTCAAAGGCCTTCCAAAAGCTATATTCCTTTCGATATTGTTGAGAACATTTTGGTAATCAAGAAGGGCTACATATTTATGCTTTATCCACTTTTTAGGTTGATGATGTTCAGATGGAGAGGAATGTCTGCCACATTAGGCAAATAAACATTCTACTTATCTTATCAATATTAATGAATGGGACTAGCAACCACAGGAAATGAGGATGTAGCATTAGGTCATGTAAGGAACTATGAAAGTAATCACATATTCTCATCTCCTTTTTTTCCTGGGTAGAATATTATTTTATCAAATAAAAGCTTTTTTCATGAGTTTGTGTGTGTGGGATATACAGATAGATAATTCTAAACAATCTTAACCTAGGAAAGATAAGCTTTATAGAAATAGGTATCTATAGTGTAATAAAGTCTTCTATTAATTCTTCATTTGGTCGATCAGTTTGAGTCTTCTCTGCTTCAGATTGGATATTTTCTGCTGCTTGGGGACCTGTATCTCCTTGGGTGTTTGATGAGCTTGGCTCCTTTCCTGATACATTGGTTTCCACCTGAGAAATTATGTTGACATCAGCAAGTGGAAGTTCTTTCTCTGCCTCTCAGGCATTTGGTGCTACAATTTCAGCATTTTTGACAGCATCTTCAGCTGGATCTCTTCCTCCATTTGTAGAAGACATGATAGATGCTATTTTGGGGACAGGAAAGATAAAGTTTTATTAAACTGAGGAATGTTTCACTTCTTAACAAGTCAGTACTTTTAGTCTTTCAGAGAGCATGTAGATGTGTAATTTCCGTATTTCTTCAGAATTCTAAACATTTTATCAGTTTTTTTTTCCTTTTTTATTAATTCAAGTTAGGGAACAAGCTTGTTTCACATGTAAGTCCCTTCTCCCTCTCACTCCCCTCACACCAGCCCTCTGCTACCACCCCCAAGCTACCCCCACTCCATCCACCCACCACTCTCCAGGCAGGGGAGGGCCCTCAATGGGGGCTCTGCAAAGTCCACCAAATCTTCCTGTGCTGGGCCTGGGGCCTTCCCCATGTGTCCAGA